GGGGGAGGGGGAGGGCGGAGGAGTGCTGATGGAGGGACCGCTGCCGTCTTACGACCTGGCAGTTGTCGACGTCCGTGTGTGCAAGAGCGGGCGGATCGGAGGAACCGTGGCAGACAGTACCTTGAGCGAGGAGGAGCGAGACGACATCGATGAGCTGCTGGACGAGACGCCAGAGAGTTTTGCGTATGACATCGATATGGCGCTGGCTCCAACTGCTGCTCCAAATGGGGCACTCGGGTAGATAGACAGGCAGGAGTCCACTCTGTCTGCCGAGACGCATACATCCATGCATTTGTTTGAGTGCCTTGTGACGGCTGGCGTATGCATGTGCGTGGGTTTAATGCATGGCCGGCTCGTCTGGTTCTGGCTTCATGGACGGTCCCTGCCTGTTTGCCTGCTCGACCCGACCGAGAGAGGGGGGGGGGGCCTTCTGCCTTGACACACAGTATGTATCTATTTATGTACGAATTTGTACCAGGTGCGTGCGTCTGTGCAGGTGTTGTGGTGGGCTGACCGATTGAGAAAAAAGGGTGTCCGTGGGGCGACTGTCATGTGCGTGGCTGGGTGCTGTTTTCCCAATTTTTCCAGCACTGGTTGGTGAGTGGATGGGTGGGCTTTTTGCCGACTGACACAGCTGCATGCACAGAGGCCTTGTTGTGTCCTGCTGCCCGCCATGCCTCTCTCTCTCTCTCTCTCGTGTTTTTCTGCCGGATCGCCTTGTGTCGTGTCTGTCGCCCCTTGCCATGCCATGCCATTCCTATACATATATACACATACATGCGTTTGTGGAGGATGTGCACACATCTCTATCTGGTATCTATTTGTATACAACATATCCGTGTGGGATGGCGCTGCATCCTGCATGCGGCGCACATGCAGGTAGGTATGCCATTCGTAGCTACGGACCCAATCTTGCAGCATCCATCGGCCCGCCGATGAGTGCAGGGGCGCGGGGGGGCTGTCGTACGCTGGCTGGTGTTTGGCTATGTGAGTGACTGAGTGTGTGTCGGTGCACATGACATCTGGCTGTCGTGGTGCTGTCTTTCGATGCTTTGTTTGTATTCTCCTGGCTCTGTCTGTCTGTCTGTCTGGGATGTGTGTGCCCATCGCCTTATCCGTCGCGGTGGGGTGGTAGAAACGATCCACGTTTTCCACCATGTGAATGGCTCGTTTTGGAGACGGACACACACAGCCAGCCAGCCAGCCAGTAAGCAGATGAAATTTCAAGAGACTGACTCTGTCTGTGGGTCGATGGGACTATACAGATTGAAGGAAAGAGTCATGTACCCCATAGGTACGCCAGTCGGTCTCTCCCCTGTACACACACACAACACAGCGGCAAACCGCGCGCAAGCTCATTGAGCATCGGCGCAGCTGCAGCCCTCACCAGTCTGTCTGTCCAGCTGTACACACAAAATGTATGTATGCATGTATGTTTGTATGTCGATAAACAATCGAATCGACCGACAAACTTCATTCGCAGGCACCGCCCCAACCCGGCCCACCCGACCCCTGACTGACTGACAAAACACACCTCCCTACCCTTTCCCATGCACCATGCACCATTCACCATTCACTTGTGCTCCTGCCTGTAGTAGTCCATCCCGCTGCCGTACTCCCACGCCTCCAGCAGCCGACGCAGATAATACGCCTGCCGCTGCGGCAGGGCAGACGGCACATCCAGCCGCCTCAGGATCTCGCCCACGGTGAGGTGCATGAGTGTGTAGAGGCCCGTCATGAGGAAGTGGTACACCCACACGACCAGCACGTCGATGCCCACCAGTTGGATCGTCTGTATGATCGAAAGAAAGAGAAAGGGAAAGATGCGCGGGGAGGGGAGGGGAGGGGACGGGGCTGGGTGTGACGTGCGTACGTTGGGAATGATGGCGGGGTTCTTCCACCCGGTGGCAAGCAGCGCCCTCAGCAAAGGGACGAACTGATACGAGTCCTGTTGGCACACACACACGCACACACCGATGCATACGAGCCCTGCATATATCTTCTCGTTCGCTGACGAGGAGGAAAGGCCTCAGTGTAGCGTCTCCCATGTCATTGAGTGTCCTGAATGTCTCTGCCAGCAGCCGGACGGGGCCCTCATCGCTGTACCCCTCCCACGCCCGACCGTTGCGCACAGGCACACCCATGTTCCTCTGGAACAGCCAGGCAGTGCGCAGATTCGGCTGAGCGACACACACACACACACACATTGATTGATCAGCGACATCCGTGGTCGTTGTGGTGTGATGCGTTCCTCTCTCCCTCCCTCGCTCCATCCCTCTCGCTCTCTCTCTCTCTTTCTCACTTGGTAGGGCATCAGGGCAGCCAGGTCACTGCACACAACATGCCGACACAACTCCATCCATCCATCCCATAGACATGTGTGTCCATCGTGTGTGCAGTGCATCTGACTGACCTCTTGCTGAGTGCGTCAGCCCTGAGGGCTTCATCGAGCCCGTTGGTGATTCTCGACAGATGCCGGATCAGCGCCGCGAGGCCGCCGAACGACAGAGGGGACTGCTGGCCGCTGGCGTCACCCACTGCTATAACGCGGTCAAAGCCAGGCTTGAGCGGGCTGTTCTGGTAGGACTGGAAGAGGCCAAACACCACACGGAGAAACTCCAAGTCATCCAATTTCACGCCCTGACGGACACAACACAGACCCATGGGAGGCACGGCATCGGTGAACGGGGTGGGGGTGCTGTTCGTACCTGGTATTTGGGCAGCAGTGTCCAGTAGTCCTCGAACAGCGTCTCGAGCGACGGACGCGACGCATCCGCATCGCAATACGTAAACTATGGACCAAGCAAGCCACCATACATACCACCACATCACAGCACAATACAACGCCCAGTGAGAGGTGTGCTGTGCTGTGCCCCTTTCCTGCTGCTTGTGCTTGCCCACCATGTATGTGGTTCTGTCTGTCGGCCCCGACCCGGCCGGGAAGGCCTCCCAGAAATACTGCACACGGGAGGGGCCCTCCCCACGCCTATACAGGGGTGTGTCAGAGTAGATGAGATCGCCCCGGACATTCTTGTCCTCGGGGTAGCCGCGCGCACACGAACCTATGCATGGATGTGACATACACAGTCAGTCAGTCAGTTGATGGAGGCATTCAACCTCCGGGTCTGTGCGTCGACCGATCGATCCATGCTCACCGACAACGAGGCAGATGCCATCCGGCTTCTGGCCTCTAAACGGACACAAAATGGAGCAGACGTGGTCATCCAGCCTTGGCGCGCGAGGGTGTGATATTGTGTCACTCACTTCCTGAGCTGCCGTGAAATGGGCGAGTTGAACCCCATGCAATCGACGACCAGCCGACTCGTCACACTCACAGGCGACTCACTCCCGACCGGCTGAACCAGCAGCGACGCACCATCTGCACACACGACGCGACGGCACGACATGCACCGGATGAACGCACCACGGGCGTGTATTCACTCATTCAGCCTATCGGATCCGTGTCTGACTTGCCTGGGTGGACAGTGACGCCTTTGAGTCGGTGGTTCTCGAGCACAGTGCCGCCGGCCTCCTCGAATCGTTTCCTCACGACGGCGAGCAGCTTGAGCGGCTGCACACCCGCATTCAACACACCCTCGACATCCGTCTCAAAACCTGCATCACTCCCACCACCACCAAGGGGTGAGTGCGCGACGATGGTAGACAGAAAACAGCCATGTGTGCGTACAGACCTTGTTGGTCCTCTTCAGATGTCTTGAATCCGCACCGCATCGGTCCGAACTGCGACGTGACGACCTCAGCGATGTCCTCCGGCTGCAGAATGGCCGGGGTCGTAACTAACTCCTCTACCTCTTTGACGCTGATGTTCCACTCCTGCGGCCGCCCCTGCAGCAACCCGCCCTCAATCACCGCCACCCTGTAGCCCATCTTCTGCAATGCCGTCGCCGCAAAGACACCCAGCGTCCCGCCACACACAGCCACGTCATAGTCATGCTGTGGCGCGACAGAGAGGGGCTTGGACGATTCCGTGACGAACGGGGCGCCCATCGGCTGCTTGGCCAGCTCTCCTTTCCGCAGCTTCTCCCATATGCCGTCCAGCCGCTTCAGTCCCTCATATGTGGACGACCCTCCCGCGCCTGTGGATTGGACATTATCGGGCAACGAGGCGAAGATCTGCTCTGTCAATGAGGGGTGGTCTGCAGCGGCTGTCTTCTGCTGTGTGTCTTGTTGCTGTTGCTGCAGCAGCTGAGTGCTCCGAAGCGCCGTCAGCGGCCGCCTTGACGTGAGTAGTGGTGGCTTGATGAAGGCAGATGCAGATGCAGCGGATAGAGAAAGCACCAGAAGGACGGCAAGCAGAGGCAGATCTGACCTCCGACATGACGGTACCATGCTTGAAGGCAACAACTTACGAATCAAGAAAAAGTCAAGCCAAGAAAGCGAAGGAAAACACACAAAGGGCCTTGCCGTGATTCGAACACGGGGCCTTCCGCACCCGAAGCGGAAATCATACCACTAGACCACAAGGCCGGCTACCTACTCGTTGGACACAACCTAATCTTGTCCATGTGCCGCAGATGTGCCCGACGGAGCTCTATTTCCGCGGAATATCCGGTTAGCACAGCTTCCTCCGGAGGCCAAGATCTCGAGATCTGATCGTCATTAGACGAGGCTGCTGAGCGCCACTCAGCTACAGCAAGATTGAGACGGTCGAGTCTACTCACACCTGAGGTACACACACGAGGGCACACAGGCATCCACATCCACATCTGTACAGACGCATACGCACAGAGCACACGTATGAGCATTCACTCACTGTGTTGTGCTCTGTGGTGCTGTGTTGTGTTGTGTTGTGTGTGCTGTGTGTGGTTTTGGTGTAGGTGTAGGTGCTGTGCAGTCCTGTCGTGTGGTGGCTGTTGCCATCGCTTCAGTTACTTTGTTGTGTTGATCGTTCATCCCACTCACTCTATGGACGTCCCGCCTCACCAAGCCAGAACGGCCCCCGAGCTGCCGGCGTGCAGGCTGTTCAAGTCCTCGAATTCCTCGGATGGGCGGCCACTCTCAAGCGAGCGAGACACGGGGACATGGCCTCCGTCTTCTCCGTCTTCAGCAACGGCAGGGAGAAGATCTGGTCACTTCTCGGCAGGCCCTGCCCTGCCCTGCCTACGTGAGTCGAAACTCGTCCCCGTGGGCCAGCCGGCTCAGCCACGACCCGCCATTCAAGCACATGTGGAGCCTTGACAAGCTGTCCAGGAGCGGCGGGCGCCTTCGGCATCAAACGGAAAGGGCTGGGAGGGCGGGGGAGTATCAGGCCGGACGATTAGGTCCCAGGACGGCAGCGATCAGACGGTCACTCACACCACCCTGACGCACGCACACACATGTCACCAGGGAGACCATCACCCGAGTGTCTGTGTGTGTGTGTGTCTGCCTGACTGTGTGCAGATGCGTACGGTTGTTAGCCTTGAGAAGCCGTTCGTCATCAAAGTCTCAAGGTCCCCTGCGCCTGACCCACTCTCGGGTTGCGTATGTCCAAGTCCACGCCCTCGTCTTGGTCGTCGACGGCACAGACGATGGCACATGGCTTACAGCTGCCTGTGGTGTTTTTTGTTTGTGTATGAGTGTCCGCTCGCCTGTTAGTTAATTTGGTGGTACTGTACTGTACGTGTGTTAATTGTGATATATATATAGGCGTGCAATTGTGATGGATCGTCGTGTGTACGTACACGTGTGTGTACGTAATCGTGCCTGTCGTACACGTGTGTGTCTCATTGACGACATTGATTGATTGACGTCACGTGCACTCACTGATTGGTTCACTGACAATGAGTGAGTGTGGGTTGAGCGTGTCGTCGCGTGGCGACAGCAGCAGCAGCTGCAGCTCTGTGGTGCGGGTCGTGTCGAGCGAGGCGGAGGGCGGCGGGCAGTTTGTGCGAGTCACTGCCGTGTGGTCCTCACTGCCCGCCTACAAAGTCGGCTCCGCCGGCAACGGGTGAGTGAGTGAACGAATGAGTGAGCTTTCCTGACTCATCCATCCATTCATCCATTCATTCATTTATGGTGTGTGTGTGTGTCTATGTGTCTGTGAGGTATGCGACGGCTGCTGTGGTGTTCCTTGACACGCCGGGCGAGCAGACGGCAGCCGTCTTCAGCCACGCCCTCGGCCATGCACTCGTCAAGGTCACAGAGCTCGTCACGTTCCAATCGCAGCCGTAAGCCAATGCCCACACATGCACTGGGTCGGCATACTCGCTGACTGGTCGTGTGTGTCTCTGTCTGTCTGTCTGTCTGTCTGCAATCAATTAGGTATGTGTATGTTGGTGGTGGTTCTGGCATGAATGTGACGCTCAACTGCACCCAACAGCCGTCACTCATCAGTAAGACAGCTCAGCTGGACAGCGGATGGGAGGCTAATCTCTGTGTGTGTGTGTGCTCAGGCTTCATCGAGCATGCCAAGCGCAAGGCCAGGTGAGTGAGACATGGAATGACACACACGCATCTCTGTCTGTCTCCATCTGTGTGTGTGGCTTCTTTCCATTCCAGGTCGTTCAAGGAGCACGTCAAGTCGGGCCGGATCTACGACTCCATGTGAATCAAGTGCACGGGCCTGCCTGTCCTCTCGCTCGACACGAACGATCACGCCGACCCCGACAAGGCGACGCTGCGCTGCTCGTCCCTCCTCGACAGTGTCGTGTCAGTCACCATGCATCACACAGACACACCCACGCTGCTCGGTATGTACAGACACACACATCCATCCATCCACACAGGCATCCACTGTGGCATGCATCAGATGTGTCTGAGGCTGTGTTGTTCTCGTCCAAACCTCTCGTGTTCTTCCCCACGCATCGCCTCATACTCAACTGCATCCATCAGAAGCACATCTACGAGTGGGTCAAGCGGCGGGTGTCGCCGGAGCTCTGCATGTCGTCCACGAAGAGCGCCAAGGAGGTCAGCCCACCCAGCAACCAAACACACGCACCACTTGGTGCATTGGATGCATCCATCAGGCGGGTGACAGTCTGATCAGCGGTGGCGGCCAGGCCACTGGCGTAGACGTGTCGGGGTCCCCCACGCGAGCGATCTCAGCCAAGCCGTCGATGGCTCAGACGATCGCCCAGGACAATCTCATCACACCCAAGTGAGACAGCAACACCACCGGCAACACGCATCTACTCATGCATGTGTGTGTGTGTGTGTGTGTGTCGCAGGGATTCGGTGGCCCATGTGGTGGAGTGCGAGGAGAGCAGCGACAGTCTCGACGGCGTGTCGGCCTCGTCGTCCGATGCTGCTGATGCTGAGGAGGCGGAGGATGTGCTGTCGTTCCCACCCACGCCCTTCTCGTCTGTGCGCTTCCCTCCCCCCGACTGCCCGCCACACATCGACATGGCCCCACCCGCCCTCTTGGCCTTCGAGTTGTGCTTCGCTGCCAACGACAAGATGAAGATGCACGCGGTAAGCCACACACACACCCACAACGCATGTATCGACCGACTCCTTTATGTGTGTGTATGTGTATTGCAGGTGGAGGTCGCGCCGATGAGCAATCCGGCACACACGGTCTTCGCACCGCCCGACTCGGTGTAGGCAGCCGGCAGATGAGATGCACACACTCACACTTACGTGGCTGAGATGGATATGTATGTGTGTATCTGTCCGTCCATCCAGTGAGATTGAGTTTTGGCTGGAGTCATGCAACAAGCAGACACCCGTCGTGACACAAGCCGTCGCGAGCTTCGAGGTCACCAAAGCATGACGCACACGACAGGCATCTCTGACTGTCTGTCTGTCTGTGTGTGTCCGATTGCAGGCCGATCACGCGTGTCAGATGTCGTGCTGCGCTGGTGATGAGCTCGTCATCCACATGCGCACCACAACGCAGTGGACATACGCAACTCACGCCATCTCTCGTCTGTCTGGGTGAGGCCAGCACACACACATTCACATGTGTCGATGTGCAATGGTTGTGCAGGTGGGTGCCGACGTGTGTGTCCGATGCCGATGTGGTTCGAGTGTGAGATACAGAATGTCGTCTGCCAGAACGTCGTCACCATCCTCAACCCGCCGTCTCGTGTGAGTGGCCAAGCCCGACAGACAACCAACACTCTGTGTACTTGTGGATGCCTTTGTGTGTGTGTGGTGTCAGCGTGTGTGCTTTCCGGCGTTGCAGTGCTCCGTTGGCGACAAGGTGGTGATGATGCAACATGGGGCCGTCAGGACACACACTCAGGGCGCGTGTCAGTGCTCGTCAGGGCATACGGACAACCGCACAGAGAGGGGTAAGGGCACACACACACACACACACACACGTCGCCGCATTGTATGTCCGGCAACCACACTTCAGCTACGTGAACTGCGCTGACATCGGTCTGCCCATCCCCCACAGCAAGACACGACAGGTGAGGACAGAGTCTGGCTGCACGATGGCCTCTGTGTGTGGGTGTCACTGTGTCTCCTGCACGGTGTGTGTGTATCTGTGTGTGTTAGGTGTGGAAGAAGCTGGGGCATCCGGTGCTCATGAAGGAGTGATCGGTGTCAATCGGACAGACAGAGACGAGCAGACACTCAGACCGACAAACAGCGAGCAACAGACACTCAGACAGAGACAGCAGACAGACAGACAGACAGACAGACACACATGGACAGGTCGATCCATGAGCATTCACTGGGGAGGCAGATCATCCCTGGGTGCTTAGAATCACACGGGAGAAAGAGGGACGACCACACCAATCAACATATCCCTCTGCTCACGCATACGCACCAGCTGGCAAGATGACCGACAGGACAGTCCCCCAACACAATTCAATCCAGCCGTATGATGGGCGGCGGGTATTGGTGCGTCCTCACAGTCCACTTCAGATCGCACCATACCAGGTCTCGTTATCCATAGCACACGCAGATGCCTGTGTCTCTCTAAGCGCATGTGGATGTATGTGAATGTTCAGGTCGATTGCTCGGGAGCGATGTGCTGTCCGGGGCAGCATCGGCAGGGAAGCGGACACTCTCGCATTTGAGACGCGGAGATCTTTTGGTGTGTGGGTGAACAAACGAATCAAAATTACGAAGGCAAACGAACAAACTTAACCGTCAGCACAAACAAAGGTCCCATACACAGACAAACACTCGATCGTCCATTGACACAAGTAAACATCAGACATTCTCTGTCTGAGGCTCGCTCATTGGTCGTCCAGCAGGTACGGCAGGCCCAGCCTCTCCACCACGTCGTTGGGCAGCGCATACACCGGATGCACGCCCTTGAGCCCCTCCACAGCCTTGAGCAAAGACAGGCCAGCGATGCCGAAGAACGTGTGGAACACGTCGGCCATGTCGTCAGGCCTGTCGGCGATGCCCCCGCCCCTGTCGTCCTGACTCGCCAGGATGAAGGCCGCGAGTTTCTTCCCATCGATCCAGTGCAGCCGCCCGATGATGGCCAGGGACGACAGAATCCACCACGAGTAACACACGTCGGGCGCCTTCTCCGGCCGACCGTTGAAGCCGCCGCCCTCTGTCTGCCGTTCGCACAGCCACCATCCCAGCCGATCGGCATCCGCAAAGTCCAGCGCGTCCGCCAGTGCGAGGGCGCCGACGCAGCAGAAGGTGTAGGCGGCGTGCGACTCGGACCCAGGGATGCTCGAGAAAGCACCGTCAATGTTCAGACATCTGATAAGGACACACACACACACACACCAGCCGATTGGGAAGGAAACGGGGCATGGAGTCCGTGTGTGTACTGTCTGGCTGACCGCCCACCTGTGCACGAATGCGGCGGCTTTTGTGACGTCGATGAGGTCGAGCCGGTCCAGGATGGTCAGACAGGACAGACCACAATACGAAAACCTACACATGATCGGACACCCGATGGATCAGCTAGACCATGTGCAGACCTTTGACTGGCTGGCTGACCTGGTGTCCACCTCTCCCCACTCGTCACCACGAAACGAGCCATCCTCGTTCTGACGAGTCCACACACACAGCCGAGCCGACACATGCATTCACTGTCTGTGTGGGCGTCTGGCGAGGTGTGTGAGCACCTGCATGGATGCGATCCAGTGAGCCACTTTGTCACGGTCCAGCAGATCCAGCCGGCCAACCACACACAATATCAGCACTGCATACTGCAGGGATGCACACACAACACCAGAGCAGACAGCACAGCAACGAATCCATCCATCCATCCATCCCATGTGCCTCCCTCTCGCTCTGTCTGTCTGCTCACGTGTGTGTTAGTGATATGCGGGTCGTGCTGAATGTTTGCCCCGAAGCCCCCACTGGGATGCTGGCACTTCATGATCCACCCAACCAACTCATCCATCTGACCCTTCAACGACGGACCCGCCAAGCTGCCCGACGCATCCTTGCCACCCTCGCCATCACCGCCACCACCACTGCCACTGCCACCCTCCTCTCGTTTGTCAGGCCCGGCTGCCGCCGCCTCATCTTTGCCGTTCTTGTCTGTGTTGAGTCTGTCCATGAGTGCCAGTGCAGTGATGCCCCAGTAGGCGCCTCCCATCCTCAGGTGCTCTGACATCACGTACTCCAGGCTCTCCTTGTCGTCTTCAAGCGTCCGGATGAACCGCTCGTTCAGCGACCACAGGAATTCAGTCGGGAATTTCGGTGCTGATGATGCGGCTGCCATCCTGACGTGCTGCAGCTGACGTCTGGTCGCAAAAGCGGCGAGATCTGCCTCAGAGGTGCGAGCTGAAAACCAACTCTCCCTTGAAGGCTGCCTGCAACAGCTGAATCTACAGCTGATCTACGCTTTGGTTTGCCGTTCGTATGTTCAGGCATGATCCTCTGCCTTTCACGACACGACTCCTCTGGAAGCATTTTGTGACCATTCTGCTGAGTGTTGGCAGCCGACACTCGCTTCTGCAAGAGGTATCGGCGCTCTCGAGTCGGCTGTCGAGTACTTTTGTCCCAGTGTCGCATCGGCGCTCCTGCTTCATGTGCACGACGACGGCCGGCAGCAAGAGGGTGGCTGTGATAGGGGCCGGAGCAGGTAGGGATTACAAAACAGCAACACCAGCCAGCGACCCATTGTTGCTCGTGTGTGTTTGGGTTGTCGCTGCAGGTGGTCTGGTGGCGGCAAAGCTGCTCCGTGACGACGGGTTTGCCGTCAGGGTGTTTGAGTCGGCCGACCAGCTGGGCGGCATATGGGTGTACGACAAGGCATCGCCACTCTACAAGTCGCTGCGGACAAACATCCCAAAAGAGATCATGGCCTACTCCGACTTCCCCTTCGACGCAGGCCTCCCGTCGTTCGTCAAGCACACGGACGTCCTGGCTTATCTGCGGTCGTACGCCGACCACTTCGCCCTTCACGACATGATCAGCCTGTCCACGCCTGTAGAAACAGCCGAGTATGTGAGTGGGGAGAGCGGCCAAGGGTGGAGAATCAACGGCGAGGAGGCCCTGTATCCCTCGCTGTTTGTGTCTAATGGACACTACAACACGCCGCGGTATCCCAGGCTGGTCAAGAATGAGTTTCGTGGCCTGGTGACGCACTCCAAGTTCTACAAAGAGCCGTCGCCTTATGCTGATCAGCGTGTGCTGGTGGTGGGGGGCGGGCCCAGCGGAGTAGGTAAGCAAACACACAAAACAGCAATCAGAGGAAGGAAGGACACACGGGTCCTCTCCGCTCATTCGTCTTCTGCCGGTGCATCAGATCTGGCATGGGAGCTGCACAGCGTGGCCAAGTCAGTTGTGTGGGCCGACAGCTCATTCGCAGACCCCGAGACGGCAGAGGCGACAAAAAGCAAGTTGCCCAGCAACGTGGAGCTGGTGGGTCGTGTGGAGGGGTTGGAGGAGGACGGGCGCTATCTCGTGATTGGTCCGGACGGCTCCACTGTGACGAGCGACGACCGAGTCGACGCCGTCATTTGGGCAACGGGCTACAAATACGGTATGGAGGCGATGCACAACGGTCTACGCGATGCACCCCGCTTCGCATATAGCAAGACAGGCAGACGGCAAATGCTGCACGGCCACCCGTGTGTTTGTGTCGCTGCTTCTGGCAGATTTTCCGTTCTTTTCTCCGTCAAGCGGTCTGATCCCGTCCACAGATGGCTCCCCCCAGCCCCTGTTTGACTCTCTCTACGTCCATCTGTTCCACAAGGCCCACTCGGCCAGCCTGTTCTTCCTCGGCCTGCCTGTGCGCATCATCCCCTTCCCCATGATGGAGTCGCAGACCAAGGCTGCCATCGCCGTCATGAAGGGACGCGTCAAGACCGAGGTGAGGCAACGCATGGAAGACAGACAATCGCATGTTTGTTATGTGGTGTGTCACGTGATTTCTTTATCCATGTCAGGATTTGGCCTCCTTGCCCGTGTTTCCCTGGGTGATGAGCAACGAGCAGTTCCCCTACTGTGCCCTGCTGGAGCAGCTGGCCAAGGGCACACACCACTCCTTCCCCCGCTCGACCGACCCGGCCAACGACCCCACATATGACACCATGAAGCTGCCGCGAGACATCGAGCTGCGCCGCCAGATGTATGCCGACTCGTCGCTGGCGAAGAGGAGGGTGCCTGGCAGATACAGAGAGAGGAACTATCGTGTGCTGGGGGCCAAGGGGGAGGGGGAGATTGAGTGGGAGGTGACGGAGGTGCCCGAGCCGGTGGCGGCATGAGAAAGGGGAGGGCGAGTCTATGGTGTCGCTCTCTGCATGCAGTTTTGGTGATGCGTGTGGGCGTGGTGGTAAGCAGTTTTGGGTGCGAGAGACGAGTTCTTTTGCTCGTGTGTGATGGTGTGTCGATATTTGTGCTGTTGCTCATGAAGTGCCTGCTGTAATGCATGTATGGAGACTGACATTCTTCGCCCAGTGAAGCGGCTGTTCTGGCTGACAAATGAAGGAACATGCACAATCGTGTCCGTTCACCCAGCAGCGGCTCTCTTTTGTCTTGTCCTCTCGCACGTCAGCCGAGCGTGCATCTTCCTGGAAGCACACAACGATCAAGGGACATACAGCAAACATGAGCGTGTGGCTCACCTGGTGACCCACCGAAGCTTCTCGAGTCGATTGTTGGATGGGTTGCTGTCGATGTGGTCGACCTCCAGCTCACTCTCGTCGTTGCCCTCTTCTATCAGTCGTCTCTTCTGCTCATACAGAAACACCTCTGCAACCAACCGGTGAACGAGAAAGTTCTGTCCACTAAGCTTGACAGGACAGTATCCCCCAGAATGCAAATAGCCACATGTTTGATGACCGTTCGTGTGCTCTATGCGCCCCATGTTTGACACCATTGGCAGCCGCCCCCTCTTGCATCGATCATGAAGGAAGGTAATGCCACGGAACTCCTCTCCTGGCATGCTTGCTGTGTCCTCAGTCACATAACTCAGACACCAGCCGTCGAGTGGTCTGCCGGTTCGCAGCCGAGATGAAACTGTGTCAGAGCTGACGCTAAAGTGCTTGGCTGTAAGGGCTAGTGAGCGGAAAATGCGTTGCTGTCCTGTTTGATCGTGAGTAGCCGTCACCCTCCGTGCCCCCCCGTGGACATTGCGAGGCCTTGCAATGGTTCTGTGTGTCTTGATGACATGCTCTTTCGGCGTCATCCACTGCAAATTCGACACATGATTGTTCCTGGTGCTGCCGTCGATGTGGTCCACTTGAAGCTTCGAAGAAACGGAGGATCCGTGGTGTCTGATCAGCTGCCGCTTCTGCTCTTGCAGGAAGGTCTCAGCCACAAGGCGGTGGACGCGACAGTTCTTCCCGCTGATTTTAACGTAGAAGTAGCCCTTCATGATCCAGCCTCGCGTCAGCCCGACTTTGGGCGTCCATATGTTGCCGTATGTCGAGACCTGAACGCCCAGCTTCGCCAAGCCATCGATCTCGGGAACCGGCCGCCATTTCTCTTCTGGCCCCCTCGGAGGCTCCAGGTCATCCGATGCGGGCGGCGGCGGGGATCCACTCGATGTGCTGTCACCCTCGCTGCCATCGATGGAATGCTGGCTGTACTGCCGCTGCTGGAAGGTCCAGATGGACGCATGCCATTGCAGAGGGTTGCCATAGGGAAGCCCACAAGAAAAGAGCGCCGAGGCTGCTGCCGCTCGGAATGTGACATCAGATTGACGCCGTAGGGATGTCTGGATGCTCCTGCAGAGATATGAGTCGAAGAAACGCCACGTCGCCATCGCCCAATCTCGAACGTTACATGCTCGCTTAGCGCGCCTTCTGCCCTTCCCATCCCTCCCTCTGCGTCCGTCCGCATCGTCGCTGACTGTCACCATGGTGAAGTTGGAGAAGAGCGGGATCGAGGCATGGTACATGAAGGATGAGGTGGAGGACCAGGTTAGATCACCTTGGGGAAGGGCAGACACGCAAGCACAAGAGATGCAGGGCAGACAAGCAGGCAGCGAGCAGCCATCTGTCAGATCTGTGCGTGTGCGCATCTGTTTGTGTGCTCTGTTGTGTGTGCTGCATAGCGTGCTGAGAATCGTTGTGATCCGAATGAGCCCGTGGGTGTCGAGGAGCTGTCAGCACTGGGCGTGGACTCGTGGAAACTGGTACGGCGGATGCGCAAACAAAGGGCACCTGCAGGGGCGGCGGTACACGTGTGTGTGTGTGTGTCTGTGTGTCAGAGTGGCACAGAGGATGACAAGGAGTTGGAGCAGATCCGCAAGGACCAAGACTACAACTACAATGACGTCATCACTTGCTGTTAGCTGGCCAACACGCAGACGCACACGCACACAGAGGCGCTCACGATGCCTTTCCCTTGATGTGTGTGGTAATGCAGCGCCCGAGAAGCTCCCCAACTACGAGGCCAAGCTCAAGGTGATTACACACACACAACACAACGTGCCACTTGCCCACATCGACCCACACACAAATACGTACGCCTCCCCTGCCCGCCTTGTTTCCATCTGTGTGTAGACGTTTTTCGAGGAGCACATCCACGCGGATCCCGAGGTCCGATATGTGCTGGAGGGGTCGGGCTACTTCGACGTCCGCGACAAGCAGGACAGGTGGATCCGCATCGACTGCAAAGAGGGACACCTCATCACACTGCCGGCCGGTGAGTGAGGGAGGGAGGAACCAGCGAGAAACGACAGATGGCCAATAGGCCACGCGAAAGGGTATGTATCTCTGTGTGTTCAGGTATCTTCCACCGGTTCACTTTGGACAGTTCCAACTACATCAAGGCGATGCGGCTGTTCCAGGGCGAGCCCGTGTGGACGCCAATCAACAGGGGTGAGGGCGCTGAGGAACACGACGCACGGAAACTATACGAAAAGGTGCAAACAAAGCCACACACGCACACACACGCACACAACACAAAAGCCAGGTTTTGTGCCTCATTTGTCGTGCTGTCTGTCTATTTTGGCCAGGCCTACCAGCCGAGCAAGAAGGCCAAGATCGATGCAGGCGGTGATGACAAGCCAGTCGCCAACGGGCATGCACCTGAGGTGGCCGCTGAGGCGTGACGCAGAGGACCGACCAGACAAGCGGTCGGGAAGTAGTGTGCAGTGGCTGACTGGGTGCATGGTGTGACTTGCTTTGGTGTTTGTGCTTCTCATCCTTGAGTGGGGTTGTTGCGATCTAGCTTTGTGGCTGCATCCGGTAAGGGGAGTGCCCATGCTGGGTGCACTTCCATCTCCGGATGGGGACGGGAGCGAGGTCAAGCCAACACCCACACAAGGCAGAACACGGGTCGGAGTTGGGCGGATGGGTAAGAGAGACACATTCGGGCAGTAGAGTGGAGCCAGAAGAGTGAGTCGAGAAGTCAGCAAGATCGTTGACCTGTTGTGACCTGGTGCATCGATGGATGTGCCCTCTTGCATGTGTGCCTCTCCAGCCGCAGCACCACAGCAGGGCAGTGCAACACACATGCACCAGCCTTGCTGTGTAGCTGCAGTTGGAGAGAGGCACTGCATGAGGCGCACAGTCGACGCACTGCTTATTTCAGTCTTGTTGTCTCGAGAGGTCTGTGTGCGAGTGTGTGAGTGAGTGAGTGGCGTTGGTTTTGCCTCTCTGCGTGCCAAAACACACATGCAATTTTGCGTTGTGCAGTGCCTGGCCGTGCCCGACTGGTGCAGTGTGTGAGGAGTGTTTCATGGGATTCGTGTGCTTGCGTGTTGAGATGAGATATAAGACGACACCCGTTTATGTGAGTTAATGTCATCCATGGCCAAATTGATTGAACGGCGCACACAAAGCAGAGGAAAGAGCACCTATCTAATAATGCAGCAGCAGCATAGAGTCACATCCAATCACTCCCTCAGTCAGTCACTCACTCACTGACAGGCTCTGTAGGCATCAATCAGATGCAGACGAGAAGGCAGCGAGGGAGAGGGAGGCAGGGAGGCAAAGAGGGAGGGGGCACTCACACGTAGGCAGACGGCGACCAGCAATGCAATGCAATGCACACCCATGATGGCTACACAACACAACCGACCGACTATGAAGGGAGGAAGATACATACATACATACAAAGGTGCCACGGAATTACATACGGAAAGAAGACCGACGGCAGCCACCTAGCCTAGCCACTCCCTCTCTGTGCATCCATCGTATCGCTCCTTCTATCGCATCCATCGGTTCATCCAGCCATCCAGTGGTTCACTCAGGCAACGGGTATTTTTTGTCCCATGATGAAGTCGACGTGTTCCTTCCACTCCTCCATCTTCCACGCCGACGAGATGCTGCTGTCGACGATGCCGTTGACCATGAAGGACGGCGTCACGTGGATCCCGTTCTGACGACCGTACTTGCTGCACACAACACAACACAACACAACACAACGCATAGATAGATGAACATCAAGGCCACACACAATACAGAGGGCGTTGCGTACGTGTGGAACTTAATCTCCTGCATGACGTCACTGTGGTCGGCGCTCGCCAATGTCATCTTGGGGTGGAAACGATCTGACAGAGAGACACACACAGCCACATGGGTCCAGTCAGTCGGATCGTTTCCACGTTGCTGTGGGTCCGTGACTGACCTTCCGGCACGCCCAGTGAGGTGGCAATGGGCGTGATGTCCTTGAGAAAGTCGGCGTACGACATGTCGGCCACAAACTGATCCGTCAACTCAGCTGAGCCATCCCATCATGCAGACAGACGCACACACACATAGCATACAACATACCAACAGCCATCCATCAGCGACAGAAGAGCCTACCCCTCTTGTTGAATAAGTTCGTCAGGAACTCGAAGTACTTGTCCGGCGACACCTGCAATCACTCACAGACAGGCAGACACACAGATGACACGCAGATGGATGGACAGCCGGCCGGCCGCACATCCCGATGAGCGCATCTACCTGTTTGACTGAGATGGCAGCCATGTTGGCCATGCTTGATTGAAAGTGCCAGGGCTGACAGTAGTGGTAGACGGTGATCTTGACCGAACCCTTCACCTCCGGCCAGATCTCACTGATCCACGACTTCCAGAATTTCTCACTGAACGGACACCTGCACACGCACACACACACACACAATGAAGCACACACACAACACAATGAATCACGTTGTCCCTTCCTTCCTTTCGAGCTGCATGCGCGCCTCCCTGCATGTGACTAACGGTGTCCGTGTGATGTGGTGCGCGTGTCATGGCGCGTACATCATGTCGAGGAAGCACTCAATATGGATGCAACCGTGGCCCATGGTTGAGGCCCATCCCTGTGTTCTCGGCGAGGGAGGCGGCATCCTTCACACCAATACAACCTACGAGAGAGACCCAAAACGGTATTCAGAATCGATCGGCGACTTTTCTTCGGCGACTGGTCTTCCGTAGTGTGCGTGTGTGTCGTGTGGTGTGATTCGGTGCTGCCTTTTCTCTGTGCGATGATTCGGTGCTGCCTTTTCTTAGTGATTCCACCTGCAATTTGCTTTCTTGCCTGCGTGAATGGATGGCCTTGATACACGGTAGACTGGAGATATATACTGGAGATCAGACGCTCTGGTCGCTTTCCGTCGTCAGCGTAAAAGGGGAGATCGCGAGCTTGGAAAAGTCGAGCCATCAAATAGCTCACGTTATGGCACAGGGGGAGGCCTTCGTGGACGATATGGAATAGCACGAGTGCAGATCTTGAAGAACAAAGAACGCTTTCGGCCCGTCTTTGAGTGATGCAGAGCCAGGTGCCTGCTGAGAGCGCTCATCACTTCCAAGAGGTGGGCAGAGGCTGCTCAGACGATGGCAGATGGAAAAGTGCCACATCAATTTCGTTGTTTGTGTTGTGCCTGCCTCAATGCGGATACGCGCAGCTGGTTGAGAGGGGCACCCGTGATATAGAGGAGCTGGAGCGGCTCAGGAAGGAGCACTCTGACGTCGACAAGCTCCTCGGTAAACTGCATGCACTCACTCAGAATGTCTGTAATCGATCGATGAATGGATGGATGGTGTGTGTCGTGTAGAGGAGCTCCCGACCACCCTCCGCAGAGAGGCGATGGTGAGAGGCCGACCGACCAGCAGTGCACACATAACACCTACCTGTGCCATGTCGGTTGTTTGTTGTTGCGGGGTGGGTTGGTCCGGTTGGTTCAGGTTCCGTTTGGCGAGGGTGCGTTCTTCGTGGGCGAGTTGGTGCACACCAACGAGGTCATGTGCCACGTCGGCGACCGCTACTACATACACAGGACGGCACCCAACGCACGCAGGATGCTTCAAAGGAGAATCGGTGGTACGATGGATACGACCGCACACACTCAGACGCCGAAATCAATACACACGCATCCGCACTATACGTATGTATCAAGGAAGAGAGAGCCGTGTCTGTCTGTCTGTCTGTGTGGGCTGGTTGATCGATCAGAGATAGACAGTAAGCTCGAGAATCTGCGCAAGAGCGTGACGATGGCCAAGGAGGCCGTCCGCATCGCACGGACAGAGCCAATACTCCCAAGGGGCAAGAAGGGAGTCATCACGCTGGTAGGTGGGATGTGATCACACAGCCAGCCACAGTAAATAATACAGACAGCCGTAGCCAGGATGCCTATTGTGTGTGTGCAGGCGGACGATGGGACGGTGGCGATCCGCGAGCGTCCGAGTGAGAAGGACGAGGACATCGCCGACCGATTTGAGAAACGTGCGCAGGACGACCAATGGGACTACATGCCCAGGAACTTCTTCAAACCCCTCGTCAAGACCACCGCTGCGGCACCGGGCGGCAAGGCCAAGGCCAAGGACAAGGACAGAGACAAGGAGAGTGGCAGGAGGGGCAAGGGTGCTGACGACAAGAAAAAGGTGGTGACCAAGGGCAAGAAGGCCCCCAAGCGACACGAGGACTACTACAAGGCCTTCCCCAACGTCCCCCCTGCCATGATCGAGCTCATGAGAAAGGAGGACGCCCAGGGTGTGTCCGACGATGAGGCAGCGGAGAGCGAGGAGGACAACAAGGCGGTGGAGCCCTTCATGGACGCCATCGAGAAGGTGCGCGCCAAGCAGAAGGCTGCTGAGGCTGCCAAAACCAACGGTGCGGCGCCGGCGGCGGCATCAGGTGGTGACGAGACAGTTCAGGAGGTGCCGATAGAGGTTGAGGAGTCAGAGGAGTCTGATCAGGAGGGGGCTGGGCCGCCTCTGCCATTCCTCCTGAAGCCTTCACCGGGGGAGCAGCAGCAGCTACAGCAGCAGCAGCAGCCTCCATCGGGTCCATCAGCCCCGTCAGCACCAGCACCGGCCGAGCCGCCGAGGCCACGTTGGGCAGAGGAGCCTGTTGCAGCCCCTCAGGCCGCAGCCAAGGGAGACAAGGAAGACACATCCAAAGACATCTACAAGTGGGTGGAGCGGCAAAACACACACATAACACATACATATGTTGCGCCATATTTGATTGACGATGGATGGATGCACCTTGGTATTCTGCCCATCAGGTTGATGGGCCAGTCTCTCGCCCGCACAGGCAAAAAGGGCACGAAATCTGGTGCTGCGACAGCACCAACACCAGTACCCCGGAGCGAGAAGCCCTTCCCCGCCCCTCCCCCGGCCATGCCCCCCATTGCCGAGGATGCACCAGGCACCAGTGAGGCCTTCTCGGGCCGCATCATCGAAAGGATCACTCCCCAACAGGCCGAGGTCCGCCGTGGGATGGTGGCAGAGAGAATGGGAGGCTCGTCGCCGTCGTCGTCTGCTGCTGCTGCCGCTGGTGCTGGTGCTGGTGGAGGTGCAGCCGAGAGGCCTGTTCGTGTGTCGCGGTTCAAGCAGCAGAAGATGGCAGAGAGAGAAGCGGCTGCGCGGGGGGACAGGTAGGGAATGCATTAATGGATTGGCTGATTGGTCGGTCGAGCGTTGGGCGGACTGATTGGATTGATGGCTTTGTGACGTACTTAATGCACTCACTTCCGCATTTGCGCATGTGTGTATGTATTGGTGAAGAGAGTGAGTGAGGGCTTGAATCGGACAAAGGTATTTGTTGTATGTGTTGTGGTTGGTCCCGGGGATGGGGTGGCACGGCGTGTTTCCTCTATATATAGTGGGAGTTGTGACGTCCCTGCCGCTGCCCAGTATTCTGTGCAGTGTCTGTCAGACTGTGCAGTGTCTGTCAGGCAAGTCACATCCCCTTGACGAGAGGAACCCGTGCAGCCTAACTTACTCTTCGTTGATCCATGTGCATTCATCCATCAATCCATCGATCAATTATGCAGGCAGCGCAGGCAAAGAAGCATCCATCATATGTTATGGTCACTGTGTTCCCCCTATTGATATGCATGGACCCATGCGCCTGCTCACACGGACATGCAGACGTCGGTCGCCACACACACGCACAACGCACACGCGTCCTCACTGACGAGCTGGCGTCACCACTGTCAGTCATGTCATTGTCTGTCAATATCTCGTGAGTGAGTATCCACACACAATTGATAGATATCACACACACACGGCTCGGCTCCACGCCGACCACCATCTATCTATCTATCGCTGCAGAGGCTGGCCCCACGAGTAGCCAAGGGTGCGTGTCATGACCACACGAGATATCGGGGGTCGCCAAGGCAACGCTTGCGTGTGTGGGGCGTGGTAAAATAGCACCTGTGGCGGCTGTGTCATGACACAACCACCACCACCGCCACCACCACCAGAAGGCCCCCTGTGTGTCTGCTCTGGTGAGTGTCCACCACACAGCTGTGGCGCCCTGTACACCACCATGGGTGACGCATACGTGGCCGGATAGTGGGGAGCCTTTGCAATCGGGATGGCATGTGTCGACGCAGATGGGTTGAGCGTGGGCTTTGTTGACGGGAGGGCCATATAGGACGGCGACGGGGCCATGGTGAGAGCCGACGTGCCAGCGACAGTGGACATGCCATGAGGCGCACGAGAAGGGCGCGAAGAAGACGGGGCGATCGGGGGCCGGCGGAAGGCGGTCGCCGGCATACGGCAGCCACTGGCAGCTGCTTTGTGGACATGGACGTTGGTGGTGGGGCCGCTCGTCGTGGTTGCTGCGGCGGTTTCCGCCGTTGAGGTGGTGGCAGGGCTGGTGCTGTCCTCGACCAGCTCATAGTGTGAGTCGATGCATGCGAGGACGCTGAGGTGGTGCCAGTCGAGGGGCTTTCTGGGACCGCCCTTGCTGTGCACATGGGCCTGCAGGTGGTCGAATGCCCTCTGCAGGGCTTGTGCCTTGGCCTCCCATGAGCCATAGCAGTGCACCAGCTGAGTCAAATACCTGACATAGATCGAACAGCGGGGCACACCGAGACGTGGTCATGTTTGTGTGTCAGTCAGTGTATGTATGCAGTCGTGCATGCTGACCGACCGACCGGTTGGCGAGTGTGAGGAAGTCGTCTGCCTGTCTGGCCAGCAGGGCCACCCTCATGAGCTCCCCCGCCCACGGCGCGGCTGCCACAGCTGTCACATCAGGACACCGCGACTGCACCAAACACACGGCAAATCTTACCCTTAACCACCACCACCACGGCAAACACCATACACACACACTTCCCTCTCTCTGCTCTGCATCTGTCTGTATGTCACCCTACCTGGACGAAGTCAAACATGACCTTGCCGCTGTCCATGGCCTGCGTCACCCAGGTCTTCCTCTGCGGGTGGGGCCCACACAGTGTCGGCACTTTCTTCTCGTAATACACACGCCGGCCCTGCCGCTCACCCAGCCCACCCTCCTCCCAGAACAGCACGCGGGCCTTTTTGATGGTGTCGCTGAAGGACAGCCCCGCGAAGAGGCGGGAGATGAGGTGGTGGGCGGCGGCGTACAGCCAGTGCTGCCGCCCGACGATGAGGATGATCTCGTTGACGAAGTACGACACGGCACTCCGCCACGTGTTGACGTCGGGCTCGATGAAGGTGTCCTTGAGCGCCTCAAACTTCCTCTCGAGCCGGCGTTCGAGATCGAGGAGCTTGTGCAGCTCATCTCCCTCACGCACGTGGCCGCACTCATCGCACCTCCACTGCCACTCGCCCGGCTCGTCGGGCCCGCTTGACTGCGATATGCGTGTGGGCGTGACGGCTGCGGTGCATTTGGGGCAGGGGAATGCCCTTGAGGGGTCGGTGGGCCGTTGGCATCGCTCGCAGAGGCACCAGAAGCCCTTGACCTTCATGAGTCGTCTTTGCCTGTAGGGGGTGCTGGCGTAGAGGCAGTCGATGTAGGACATGTGGAGAGACTCGCCCGCACTGACACACAGACAGACAGACAAACAGACAAACAGGCCAGGCCAAACACGGAGTGGATATGGTCATGGCTGACTCATTGAGCTCGCTGCTTGTCTGTCTGTCTGTCTGTCTGTCTGTCAGCATGGATGTGTGTTGTGTATGCATTCACCTACCGTACCGGAGTTTCCGTAGGGTGGTGTAGACGAGATCCCCGTCGACGTTGCGATAGCCAACATTCGGACTACACGAGTGGTTGGCCAGCTTGCCCTTCCTGCATCCATCCAATGCAATCAATGCACACGCCGAATGTAGTGATTGGACTGACACACAAATGCGGCCGTCTTAACCGTCCTCACCTGTAGAGACCCCAGCCCTCTTGCACCGGCTTGCGTGAAGGCGCCCCAGGGAACAGCCTCAGCAGCACATGGGGAGGCACCGCGTGGCCATTGACCTTCATCAGCGCATAGAACCTCTCGAAGTCTCGCCCCTCCTCCTCGCTCATCTCCAGCCGCCTCGCCACCCGCTGGCACTGGTCCCTCGCGGCACTGTCGAGCACATTCGTCTCCTGGATGAACTCGTCCAGCACCGCATGCTTGGCTGGCGTGAGGGAGCGAAAGGTGTGCACCACGTCGACGAGCTCAAGGCCACAGGCAGCCACCTGATGATCATGGTCCATTCATTCATGCTGTGGGCTGGCTGCACCTGCAGCTGCGTGTGTGGGTCACTTACGGGGTGGTCTCTGAGGACGATTTGCCCTTCTTCGACGTCCTGCAGTGCGTAGACCTCCTCGCCACCAAAGGCATCGGCACGCACGCCGCACATGTCAACCGAGGACGCGCCGTTCATCATTGTGTGATTCATCTGGTGACGGTAATCAAACGGCTCAATCCCCCATATATCGTCACAAGGGCCAGCCTAAATCGTCTTTCTGCGAGCTCAGAAAGCATGCGAATGGATCGCCTGAGGACGACGTTTCCCACATTTGATTGGGATTTCCCATTGAGATGCCCCTTGTCCACAAATCTGCCAGCACGCATTGCAGATCCAACAAATTGCACGCTGAGAACTGCTGAGGTGACTCTCCCCTTCCTCCCTCCCGCCTGCCTCTCCCCTCCCTCCCCCCATACTCCCACTCATCTCACAGCATTTGCACTCAAGAAACACACGCAAGAAAGTGGATGGGCCCTCTACCTACATGGGGATCGAAAACTGGGACCTAAGACACACACATGATGTATGTGATGTGATGGCATTGATTGCATGGAAGAGGCACATGCACATGCAGAGCCAGGCAGCCGTCTCTCTCTTTGTGGGGTGGGTGGTGGTCTGGTCTGTTCGTGACCTGATTTGCAGGTCATCCCAGCTGCCAGGCCACACCCCACACACAACCAACGAAGACTGGCACTCATACACACGTGTGCGCATCGATCACACAGCCAGCCTTTTGAAAACAGACACAGCCACGCAGCCACGCACCCCCCAGCGCGCCATGCATAGTGCATAAAGGGTGGGTGGAACAATGCTGACCTGACCCCTCTTCGTTCAACAAACCACCGCACACACACAGACACAGACACAGACCCAGACCCGGACACGGACACACAGACCTGCATACGTATACGTCACACGACGGCCCTCGACGAGACGCTTCGTGGTATCTCTTGCTCCTCAAGCAGTGCGAGCAGTGTGGTGCCAGGGCCGTCCCTCGACTTGCGCTTGTTGAGGACGGGGCTGCTGGCCCCGCCAGGCGGCAGGACGACCTGTGTGGACGCTATGTGTGTGTGGGCGGTGATCTCAAATAGACAGCTGTCGCCGTCAAACTCCAACTTGATCGGCAGACCACAGTTGAGCAGCGCCTGCACATGCAACACATACATATTCACAGGCACACACATGTCTACAGCCAACGTGTTATGTGTGTGTACCTTCCCGCTGATTTCGATGGTAGGCTTGCCGAACTGGTAGACGGGCCGGTGGGGGTCCTCCGCAAACTGAACAGACGTTATGCGCCTGGCATACAGACACACAAAGGACAAAGGACAAAGGACAAAGGACAAAGCAAACAAAGTGCCTCTCCACCCGCCCCTATTCAGACACGTGTGCACGCCCCACCCACCCATCTACCTGATGGTGGTGGGCACCAGCTCACTGACGGTATACTTCTCATCAGGGTCAAGACCACGCAACTAAAGGACACACACACACACACACACACACTCTGTGTCTGGGAAGGGCGTGTGTGAGGGGGCTCGCTTCACTCACTCACCCTGAGGCGTGGTAGGTATCGTCCCGGGCTCTTCTTGAAGGATATGAATGCGAAGACGAGTGCCTTGAGTCGGTCGGGGGTCACAAACATCCACGCAGCCACACTGCTGGAGCTGTCGAAGGGGTTCCACAGCCGATAGAAATCTATGGAGACCACAGATGACATGACACAGAGAGAGACACATGACTTGACATGTGCGGGCCCGGCCGCTGGCTGACGTACCTCCCTGGAAGATGATGGGCGCCAGCCTGGTCCTCAGCCGATTCATCGCCTTCAACTGCTCCTTCTGCCATCCCAAACACACCACATCACACACATAGTCATTATGACACTCGCACAGCACATGCCTTGTGCGTGCGTCGATCCATCCATGGGATGCGATGCGATCACAACTGACTGACCTCTACGGCACTGATCTCTTTGGTGAGGTCGAGCTCGTACCCAAACGTGCCACACAAGGCAACCACAAAGCGGGTCTTGAGCGGCGTGTGACGAAACGTCTGGAGAGACAGACCAACACACAGAGCACACACACGCATTCGGCCTCTCTCTCTCTTTATCTCTCTCCCTGTCCGCTTTCAGGTGAGTGTTACATTAGTTACCTGGTGGTTTGGCACGGTGGACACGTGTGAGCCGATGGCTGATATGGGGTAAGCAAGGCTGGTGCCGTACTGGATGCGGATGCGCGAGAGTGCGTCGGTGTTGTCGCTGCACCATATCTGCGGGGAGTACTTGAGCATCGCCACGTCGAACCGACCACCACCACCCGCACAGTTCTCGATGATGACGTGGGGGAACCGTGCACGCAGCATCCGGAACACCTCATACACGCCCAACACATACCGGTGAAACACCTCACCCTGACAGAACAGATAGATCCATGCATTCATTGACAGACAGACAGACCCCACACACGCATTGTGTGTGGGTGGGGGTGGGTGGTAGGGTACCTACCTGTTTGGCGGGTGAAAGCTGCCTTGAGTAGACTTCGGTGAGGTGTCTGTTGCAGTCCCACTTGACGTACTCGATGTTGGCGCTCATCAGTATCGCCTCCAGCTTCCGATAGATATAGTCACGAACCTACCCACCCACACACACACACCACACACACAGATGGGTGTGTGTGAGCGGGTGGATGGCGCTGTGCTGTGCTGCCCCAAGCGTACGTACGTCTTTGCGCGTGAAGTCGAGCACGAGTTGGTTCCTCCCCTCTGACCGCGACTTGCCGGCCTGCCCCAGTGCCCACTCAGGTTTGGCCTCGTACAGTTTGCTCTGCACCGATATCATCTCGGGCTCCACCCAGATGCCGAACTTGAGACCCAAACCATTCACCTCGTCCACCAACGCCTTCAGACCTATGTAACACAAACCGACAAAGAGAGAAAGAGAGAGCATTGATGCGTCGGTTATGTGTGGGTGGCGGACCTTTTGGGAGTTTCCTGAAGTCGACATCCCAGTCGCCGAGTGAGGTGTACTCGTCGTCACGCCTGCCGAACCAGCCGTCGTCGACCACTAGCAGCTCCACGCCAATCCTGACACACACACACACACACACACATGGATATCTTCCAGTGTGGTGGTGTGTGGTGTGGTGTGGGTCTCACTGACTCTTTGGCTTCTTTGGCGATCTGCATGATGTTGTCGTGCGTCTGCTGGAAGTAAAAGGCCTCCCTGTGTGACCGACCGATGCATCATTCATTCAGACACACACCTTGTGTCTGTCTGTCTTTCTGTCTGTATGTGTGTGTGTGTGTGTGTGTTGTGTGTTGTGTGTGGCTGACCATGTGTTGAGCAGTATCGGGCAGACCCAGTTGCCCCTGAACTCCTGAGGGATGACATGTGTCCGAATCAGCTTGTGCAGCTGCTGGCTCATGTACGTCAGACCTACACAGAACAACACAACACCACACCACACCACACAATCAGACACACAACACAACATCCATCCCATTCAATCTGTCCTGTCTCTGGTTGCCTGACCGTCGCTGGAGTAGGCCATGATGCATTCAGGCGACTCGAGTGAGCCGCCGGACGCCAGTGACCATGAGAAATGGTCAGGGTTGATGCCGATGTTCAACCGCACCCTCCCCGTCTCGGTCTTCTCGACCTCTATGCGGTGGTTGCCGCTGTACATGAGGGCAAACCCATAGACCTCGCCCCTGTCCTCTTCGGGCGGCGTGTCGCCCCTCGCTATGACGGCGAACGGGTTGTGCTGGTGGCTCGACGTCCCCCGACGGCTGTCCACACCTCGGTAGCCCTCCACTATCGGCTGAACAGTCACCTGCCTGATACACACACACAGAGAAAGAGAGAGAGAGAGAGTGCGTGTGTCTTTGCCCGGCTGTGTGTCTGGTATAGACACCTTTCGGCAGCCCATTCCCCTGGGAGGTGCAGGAAGTGGTATGCGTCTGACTCGAAGTCGACGGTGGCTGAGGCAAGTTTGAGCACCGTCACGCCGCCCGCACCACGGGGGGCCTTGTTGCGGATAACGGTGCGGCGAACGATGATGTCGAAGTCCTGTCAGACAGATGATGGATGGACCATGAATCGATGCATGGGCTGTGTTGTGTCTGTGGCGTGGGGCTGGATTTGTGTTTCACCCACCCACTCACGCACTCACCTCATACACTGTGTAGTGCAAATCGACCTCGAGGTCAGTGAACGGGTCAGCCAGGGTCACGATCAGCGTCGCCGCATCCGTCTACACACACATACACACGCCCCTCCATCCATCCATCCATCAGCGAACGGTCGCATCTACCTACCTGCACGGAGAATTCGTCTCCGACGATGGGCATTCCGCATCCCATGGGCACCACCCCCAGCATCACACGGTGGGTCTTGTACAGCATGGGCGATATGTGGCTCCCGTCAGCATACATGACCCGAAAACTGGGAATGCGGTAATCACCCGTACCTGCACACACACACACACACACACACACGCAGACACACACACACAGAGAGAGAGAGAGAGAGTCCCTGTGTGTCTGTGTCGGCCAGCCCAGGAGGAATCACCAACCATAATCGGAAAACTCGAGCAACTTGGTGTTGCGTCCGACCCTCTCCAGCCCAGGAGGAATCCGCGACATGGAGGTCTGTTCCTCCCCCTGCTGCTTGACCGCCCCCGGCTCCCTGACCTCCCAGGCGTCCTTCTTGGCCGAGGCCGCCTTGAGCCGCGTGTCGGCGATGTCGTTCATGAGCTTGGCCACCGCCTCCTCAAAGAGCAAGGCGCGCTCGTCCTCTGTCATGGGGATGAAGGCCGTGGTGTTCATCTGGGGCCCCTCGCCCTCGGCCATCTCCCGCTCCCTTAGCAACCGCCGCTGCTTCATCGCCAGCAGACGCCAACAGGCGTTCTCAAGACGGCTGAATGAATGAGTGAACGACATACATGGGGTGGACAGACAGATATCGGTGGATGGATCGGTGGATGGATGGTGTGCCGAGTCTGTGTGTCTGTGTGTCTGTGTGTGTGTGCGTGCGCGTGTGTAGGTACCTGGCTTCTTCATTGTAGTGGTGCCTCTGCATCATGGTGGCGGCCTTCCATGTGTTCCGGTTGCTGTCGCGCGATTGACGCTGTGCAACAGACAGACAGACAGACAGACAGACAGGTACTCATCCCTGGCTGTACAGTGCACTGACTGCATCTGGGTGGGTGCGGTGACCGCACCTTGAGTATGTCGGACACGACGAATATGTGCGGTTTGAAGGTCTCTGCCTTCTCCGGGATGGGGTCGAAGGGCAGCGATATGTTGGTGTGCCGCAGGAAATCCAAATCATCGTCGGGCTGCAGACGCACACCCCAATACAGATGCTCCAGCCACCTGCACCAACCGATGAATGCATCACACACGCACACACACACGAGGCCACACACGAGTCCACGATTTCGTGTGCATGGTGTGGTGTTTGTCATTGTGCACCCGTGTTCGTCGACTCTGAATGAGTACTGGCAAGTGCGGCAGAGGAGGTCAAACCGCCGCTGCTGCGCATTGAAATGCACCGAACGAAACGACTGAAGCTGCGAACGACCCGGCCTGCAACCAACCAACCAATCAACCAATCAATGAGCCAATGAACCAATCAATTGATGACACACACAGTCGGCGCAGCAAAGCGCAGCGCACATCCACACGCGAATGCATCTTCTGACTGCTTATGTGCACGGGTGTGTGTGAGATGCATGACTTGACTCACTGACCCGAGAGAACTGAAGCTGTTGCTTCTGTATAAGGAGTTCGCATTATCGCCGCGATGACCCATCACGACAACAAAACAGCTCAGATCTTGGTCTCAAATGGCGAGCTTGAGGCTAAGCTCGCAAATTTGAGTGGGCGTTCGTTCGTTGTGTGAGTAACGGGCCAGATCCCTTTCCAGATGTCAAGATCTCCGGTTGATCTTTTCTGATTCCGTCCGATGGATTCATCAATCAGCCTCCGTGCGGTGGGCGCTGGGCTTGACCCGCTGAGCGCCCTCAGCAGACAGTTCACCGCCGCAAAGAAGCCGCCGTCTAATGCCGGCGATGCGGCAAGAGAGCCGACATCGCCCGGAGAAGAAGTGCTGCTCGAGGTAGCCACTGACAGACCGCGCGTGGCCAGGCAGATGGGCAGATGGACACACAGGGTGGTGCAGGGCAGGCAGCCGGGGTGTTTGGATGAATCAACGCCTCGTGACACACGCCACACAGACGTTGTGTGATCTTGTCTGTGCCTTGTCTGCCTGTCTGTCTGTCTGTCTGTCTGTCTGCAGGTAACGTCAGGTGCGACGATGGGTCCGCACTCGTCCTTGCTCAGTGGCCGCACGCCGTCCCACCCTCCTCCCCCTCCAAGCCCCACATATCCACCCACACCCACACCCATACCTGCACCCGTAACCATGCCGCCACCGCAGCAGCACCACCAGCAGCAGCAGCAGTATCAAATGCCGGAGGAAGATCGGCAGCAAACCTCTCAACCTCCCCGTCCGTTGCGTCAGGTCCCGCTGCTGCCTGGCGAGAAGGAGCACATGCGGCTGGAGCATGCCCTGCTGTCCATTAGTGGTGGTGGGGTGCTGGACGGACGGCTGGTGCTGACGAGTGGGCGGCTGTGGTTCGAGCTGACAGACGTCCGTGTGCGAAAGGGGGAGTGGTGGGTGGAGCGGTGTGGGTACCTGGAGGTGCATCTGGGGTCTGTCGACAAGATCGAGGTGAACCCCGAGAGAAGGGGGGTGTCGGGGCGACAGAAGGTGCTGCTCAGTGCCGTCACTGACCCACTCGTGCTAGAGGTAGGTAGGTAGGCGATAGATAGGAGGGGAGAGGGAGGCCAGATGGATGGTGGATGGCGTCATTCGTTCATCAGGTAACGACTAAGGATGGCCGCAGGCTGCGCTTCATCATCCACGAACCGCGGAAACAGCAGGTCAGTCAGTCATCCCTTTCATCGATCTATCCGTCCGCCCGCCCATCCGCTCGTCCATCCATCAGATAGCCCAGGAGGTGTATCGTGTGGCCTTCCCCACCCGGCTGGCGGACGTCTTCGCCCTCGACCAGCGACGCCAGACATCCAAAAACCACCCGGCGCGCACACACAAGGCGTCTCACGAGGAGACCCCCGAATCAACGGCACTCCAGCCAATGGTGCATCAGCAGCAGCAGCAGCAGCATGGCGGGCTGGGCGAGAGGGGCTGGGATGCGTGGGGCCACCATCAGGAGGATGAGAGCGGGTGGAGTCTGTATGACGCTGTCGCCGAGTACAGGAGGATGGGTGTGGAGGAGAACAGCAGGAAGAGGGAAAAGGAGGGAAGTGGTCACGGTCATGGTCTGCCGCCGCCATCCACCAGGGTAAGAGAGGGAGAGTAAAGGGGTGGCCCTGCTGTGTGTCGTTCATGGCCACCGTTGATGTGTGTCGTGTGTGCAGTTGTGTGTTCGATACACCAATTTGGACTACTCGTTGTGTGACACGTATCCCCCGGTGTTTGTGGTGCCGTCTTCCATCACTGACGACCAACTCAGACGAGTCAGTCAGGCACTCACTCACTCACTCACTCACACACGCACACACAACATAGCCATGGATGGGTGCACGCGTGCGTCAGGTAGCTGCCTTCCGGTCTCGCGGCCGTCTGCCCGTCATGAGCTGGCGAAACCCATACACAGACGCCACGCTGTGGCGATCAAGGTAGCCAGGGGCAGACACACATGTGCAGGCTGGTGCACCCACTGCACTGGTTTGTGTGAATGTGTGTGTGTCGCGTCATTTGTGTGCCAGTCAGCCGAAGACGTCTCTGAAGCGGTGTGAGGACGACGAGCTGCTCGTGGCCCACCTGGCGGGCGGCCAAACCGACAGGCCCCTCTTGCTCATCGACGCACGACCATTCGCTAACGCCATGGCCAACAGGGTACCCTCCCTCCCCACAGTATATATGCGGCCCATTTTGCGCATGTGCGTGCCCACGTATGTGTGTGTAGGCTGGTGGTGCAGGGTGGGAGACTGCGCCGTACTACCGTTGCGCGGTCAAGTATGCGGGCATCCCCAACATCCACGGTGTGCGTCAGGCCTGGCAGGCCATGGTCGCCGCTGTCAACAAGGGGCTGGACGAAATGATGGAGGAGACCACACTCAATGGGGGTGGGGGCATGGCTGGGGGTGGGAGCGACATGCAAGCCATGATGAACAGCTATGCCAAATGGGGCACACAGGTACCACACACACAGAGAGAGAGAGGGAATGAGATGGATTGAGTGTTGTGGTGACCTGTGTATACTCTGCAGGTGGACAGCTCGCATTGGTACGAGTACGTGTGCATCATCCTGCATACGGCATCTGAGATGGTGGACGAGCTCCACAGCAGCGAGGGGCGTTCGGTCTTCACCCACTGCAGCGACGGGTGGGACCGCACGGCTCAGCTGACCAGTCTGTGCATGATCTGCCTCGACCCCTACTACCGCACCATCAGAGGGCTGCTCATACTCATCGAACAAGTAAGTCAGCTTATGAGCAAGTCGTGAGCAACACATACACATGGTGCTTGTGTGTGTCAATATATGGCAGGAGTTTCTGTCGTTTGGTCATCGGTTCCACACGCGATGCGGCCATCCGGCGCCCATCGAGTCGAGAGGGCCGCAGGGCGATGATCAACGCTCGCCAATCTTCATTCAGGTGAGGTACCCCTGCCTCCTTGTGAATGAGACGAACCGGGCCCCGGCCGCCTGCATCGCATTCCTGTTTGTTTGGTGGGCTGTGTCGTGTCGTGTCGTGTCGTGTTGTGTTGTGTTGTGTGTATGCATCAGTGGTTGGACTGCGTGTATCAGTTGTGGCATCAGCATCCGTGTGCCTTCGAGTTCGACGCCTCACTACTCACATGCCTCGCAGAACACGTCTACTCGTGCCAATTCGGCACATTCCTTCTCGACTCCCACAAAGTGAGTGACCCCAATTAACCCACACAGACAGACACGCCACACATCAACCAACACATGTGCATGTGCCTCTCCTCTCCCCCCTCTGGTGTAATGTCGTTCAGGAGCGAGAGGACTTCCACATCTCCCGCCGCACCCCCTCTCTGTGGCGTCACATCCTGGACCGCACAGACAGCTTCGCCAACCCCTTCTACAACCCTGCTTACTCGGCCACTGGGGATGACGCACAACACACTACTGCAGGGGATGGTGTTGGTGTTGGTTTGGGTGAGCCTCTGCGGATCCACGCCAGCCTGCCGTGTATGCGGGTGTGGGGGCAGTACTGGTTCAGGTAGGTACTCACACATCAACAGACGAATGACACACCTCGGCCGGGCCATGTGGATGCGTGTGTGTGTTGTGTGTGTGTGTTGAGTTAGGTATCATCCGTTGCATGAGTTCTACGAGCACCGGTCCCTTCAGTACATGTATCATGACGCACGTCGGTCCATCACGACACGTATCATGACGCGCGTGGGTCCATCACGACACGTATCATGACGCTGTCCATGTGTATGTCATTGATGTCTGCGATGACTGACTGTCGCCCATAGTGGGGGGGGGGGGCATGTGTGAGCCCATTTCGCGTGGGCATTGATGGGCTGTGGTGTGGCGTTGTGTGGACTCGTCACTGCTCCACCGCGGTCTTGCCAAACTGCACGTGTTTCTCCTGTTCATCGCAATAAAACGGGCAGACACATGCACGTCCACACGCATTGTCCTCCAAATTCGCCCCTCTCAGCTCCATAGCCCTTCTCTTTGCGATTGCCTTTTTGAGAGCGCCATCGTATCCCTCCTCGTCGTCCTCCACGCAAAATGCCTGTGTTCCCCTGCGGCCGTTCTCCTGCCATTGCGCCACCCACGCCTCACGCACATACCCCTCTGGATTCGCTGGCCGGTAGTATACACCCCTCACCTGACAGACACCACACGCACACACATACGCCGACGCACACACAGCCATCTCTCTGCTCGTGTCTACATACGCCGGATTGATGCTCTTCGTTTGTGTGGCGCCGGTCCCCTCCGTCCGTCTGCAGTCCACATTCTCGCATCCATTCATGCCTCTGCTCCTCTGCGAGGGCCTGACGGCGCCACACCAGGGGAGATCTTATCACGCTCACCACCCGTGTCACCCCACCACCTACCTTGGCCTTGTCGAATCCATGCTGTTGCTGCGTGAAGTAGCGCTGCTGACTGTCGTCGTGTGGATGCCTGGCACACCACCGACGCTGGTACTGATGCCAGGCCACACCGGGCACCGCGGACTGGTACTCCGACACGCGAATGTTGGTCTTGTTGAGGTCTATGATGCCCGTCGTGGGGAACGAGGGCTTCGATGCATACTGCTCAGTGAGGTGGTCCAGCTTGTCCAGGGGAGGCAACACTGCACAAACCACATCATCCTGGGCGATGCCGTCCCCCCTTTGCTGACGTGTTTGTGCCATCTCACCTCCTTCCTTGCGGAGTCGCGCGTTGCTCTCGCGGCCGAGGCGACGCTTGAGTGCCTTGTCAATGGGACGCCTGACCTTGCCTTAGGGACACACCACATCATACCAAGAAAATGCATTCCCTTTTTGTGTGAGTGGGCCGCTGCATCGACAGATCTCGCTGCAGTACCTGTGTTGCGGGCGATCTCGAACCTGCGGTCGCGGCCGAGGCGACGCTTGATGGCCTGAACCATCCATCCATCCATCCGCAACACAGCACCATTGATTTGATGGCATCTGCTGCCGTTTTCACCCACCTTCAGTCGTGTGAATAGGTCCTCGTCGTCTGAGTCGTGGGGTCGGAAGATACGATCGAGCATCGCCGCAACATCTGCCTCCGGATCGCCCTTATCGCCCCGCCCACCTGCACCCTTCCCGGCATCTGGTGGTTCGGGCGAGGAGTCAGACAGTGCGATGTCAAAGTCACGGCCGATACGCGCCATTGTGTCTGCCTCTACGTCAAGAACTCACACAAAGAACGGGCCACAAGGTAAATTCGCCCGATATGTTTCACGGAATATCATCCGGGTGCTACCTTGTCTCGCAAACAAGCGCTGGAGGCGATGCTGACGGAAGACGATGACGCCGGGCTCTATGAGAGCCTTCAGCCAGATGACGGGGGCACGCAGAGGGCCGGACTCCCTTGCATCCACTCCTTGAGCGACCTCAGACGACATCTGCCGGGCATGATGCTCAACGCCTTTGAAGGTGCCAGCCATGATCTGCGCGACGCCGCTCAGAAAAAGCTGCAGACTCTGGTGGATGCGGCAAACGAGGGCAAGACGGTGGGCCGGATCAAAGGCGTCAAAGAGTACCTGGCCCTCTGCTGCAAGAATCTGAGGTACGAGCATTCGCATAGACCAGCCCAGCGTGGATGCCCGTCTGCCCGTCACCCTGGTTCTGTGTGCGGTTGTGCAGGTGTGATGATATCGCGAAGGCTGTTGCGTCCGTGGATTGGAGGGGATATGATAGGGCATATCTATGGGATGCCGCCTTCGGACACTTCTACCTCAGTGGCAAGAAGGTCAAGTATGCGCAGGAGCGAAAGTGGCACACGACAAAGGATGTCTGGCGTCCCCATCAGATGGTATGCCGACCTTAACAAGGCGACACCACACCACACGATGGGTGCCTCTGGTATGTCTGGTGACGGTGCAGGCTGAGCTGGCGGAACTCGTGGAGGAAGAGGGCAAGAAGAAGAACGACGACCGCCTCGCACAGCCATTTCGTGGCCTGCAGGAGCGCTTCACCTTCGACGGTCCTGACCTGCGTGCGAGGCTCGCTGACCTGTGTGACTCACGTGACGCGCTACTGAAGCCGTGTGAAGAGCAGGGTAAGCATCCATGCGACGGCACTCGTGTCTGCTCGTGAGGGATGTCCAAGTCCGCTGCATTTGTGTGTGAATGTCTTCAGGTCGTGCGACGGCGAAGCGTCGAATCTGTGATTTGATTGTGGTCGCTGCCATCGTCCTGGGCACGGGGGCGCTACCTCTGGGCCTCGATCCGTATGACGAGCAGCTATCCGAATGGGCCGCACACTTCCTCACGGCATTCGCCCAGCAGCCCCTCCACAATGCTGCAGACACCCCCGTCGCTTGTGGCAGTGCAGACGTCCACATGCCGTCCGCCGAGACCTCTGATGCCAAGCGGTCACGGGAAGCTGACAAGACCAGTGAGGGAGGCCGCCCGAAGAGACGGAAGGCGCGAGAGGCCTCGTACCCTGTCGAGGTGCGGATGACGGACAGACCATCAGAGTTCTTCCCTCTCGGATCACTTTCCTCCTCGCACAGGACCTCGACGATGAGATCGGTGACCCCGACTTCGAAGAAGAGAGTGGCGGTGAGGGATCAGGAGATGAGGGGACGCTTGGCGGTGAGGGCTTCAACACACACAAGCCCACCTGGGTCATGTCACATGTATCAGCCCAACTCTCTTTTCTCTGTCTGTGGTATGTTTACAGGGCATGAGTCAGGCACTGACCCAACAGCGATTCCACACAAACTCCGAGCTGCACTCTACGGTACGAAGTGAATGCATGCGCAAGGTTTCATGAATGTACATGTATGTGTGTGTGTGTGTATGTGTGTGTGTGTGTGTGTGTGCGTCGCTTCTCGGTGCGTGTAGACATGTGGATCATGCACATGATAGCGGTGACTCCGGGAGATTTCGATAAGCGCGCGGCAGACTATACGATCCAGACACATCTTCCTCACTTCAAGCACAAGACCATCCGTGGCTAGCAGCACAGCGCCTTTGAAGACGGTACCCACCGACACCGGCCCTTCCATCAAAGGTCCCACACAGCACACCTACGCTCACTTCAAGTCGTCTCGCTATCGTTCAGGCGTGACCAAATACGCGGGGGCCACACTGCACCAGCTGGGGTTCAAGCGTCGGGCTCATGGGTGGATATGGTCGAACACCCTCGTGGTCTTCCCGGAGGATTCTGGCAAGCTCACCAGCCTTGCTGGAGGAGATGGACATCCGGTGACGTCTGATATGGCAACAGGTCAGTGGTCACCCCTTGTCTGTACAGTGATCGCATACTCAGCTGTGTCGTTGCGATTCACCTGTTTCAGGTGATGTGTCATTCGTGCGGTCAGACGGCCGCAACTGGGAGCTGCACGGTCGCCCGTGTCTGGTGGCAGTTGTGGAAACGCAGCACTGCGCGGAGGTGGTGTGTCGCATGCAGATCTTTACCGTCGTCGTTGCAAGTGAGCTGACGCCCCTCATGCATTAAGGAGTGATTGGTTGAATGTTTGTGTGTGGATGACATTCAGCAAGTGGCACAGCCAGCTGGGCTGTGATTGATCTTCTCAGGAAAGTGGCCCGCAAAGCTCAGCTCGTGGTGAGTGCAATCGAGCAGATGGATGACAGCGGTAGAGTGCCCTTTCTGGCCTCCTTGTGTGTAGGTGTTCCATTTTGGGGACCGGAACAAGGAGGGCATCGATATCGCGGCGAGGATCGCTGCTGAGCTGGCGGATCTGCACGTACCCTTCTTCTGGCTGGGGATCACTCGCAAACAGGCCGAGTCTCCGTGGCGCATAGTAGGCACGACAAGCAGATGGTATACGCTGTGTGTATGTGCATTGCATCTGTGTGCAGAAGCGTCGGCTGGTCAATTCGCCGCTCAGCGAAAGGGACAGAAAGGCGATCGAGAGCCGGCTGAAGAAACGTGCCGGTCCAGTGGCTGAGAACATGAGTGTCATCACGAGGCGAAAGCTTCAGCAAGAGGACACTCAGGTCAGGGCAGAGTTGAGATGTAGAGGTGTTTCCCACGTGGCTGAGTGAACATCGCTTGTCAGGTGTGGCCATTCTTGGCACACCAATTGCAGGGCATGCTGGACTCAGGCGAGAAGACGAAGCTGAATGTAAGCCATTCTGTCGCGATCACGACACAGACAGGCAACAGCATTTGTACATTTATGTGTCAGACGGTGCTAGACGCGGTGCCCATTGAGGAGCTCACTCCTTTTTTTGCCAAGATTGTGGAAAAGCGACTCATCGCGGCTCGTAAGACATCTAGCACACACACCAGCATCTGTGTGATCCGGCTATGGTGTTAGTGTGATTCATTGACAGGAAAAGGTGTGCAGCTTGATGCGGGCAGACCCGCATTGTCCGCGGTCCCGCAGCAAGTGAGGCGACTCTTGGTCGGCATCCTAGAGGACCCCAAGGCGGCTGAGCACGCCACAAAGATCCTCGAAAGCCATGATGTGCTTGATCATTTTGGGCTACCAAGACCCCCAGCATAGACACCCCGAACCATACCAACAACACATTCATCGAGTTCGTCACTCTGGTGCGCGTGAGGCAGGGAGGGAGGGAGGGAGGGAAGGAGTGAGACCGCACCGCAGCCTAGCAATGTGTGACCACATCTGTCTCTCTTCTCTCTCTGTCTGTGGGGTGTGTGTGTGTGCAGGAGGTTGAGCTGGACGAGGGCGGTGCCAGTGATGATGCATCTCAGAGGCTGTGTCGCATACCCGCCTGCTGCTGCGCGGCGACATATCGCCTGCGGCCTCTGTTCAATGCGTCGGCCCTCACGCACCTCCACCACCACAACGGCCGCAACAAGAGCAGTAGCGGCCAAGAGAGGCAGCAGCCCGTACATACGGACAGCTGAGTGATAAGTAGGGCTGGTTAGTCGCTGCCTGCCTGCATCTTAAGATATCATGTCAAGGGGACGACAGACAGAGAGAGAGGCTTGTTGCAAGTGAAAGGAAGCATTAGAGTGCTTTATCAGTGAGTGCCTCACAGACAGAGATGGTCTTCTGTGTTGAGTCCTGCGTGTGTTCCGTGCTTTTCATCCTCCCGTTGTGTCCTTGGGCTCGACGTTGTTTGTTTGGGCTCTTCCAAGCTCGAAGGGCCGTCCAAACCGCGTCATGGCCAGAGGGGACAACGTGGGATGAAGAGCATGATACCATTGCCAACCAAGTGTAAACGGAAGACTCAGGAGATTGACGACCGATTATCATTCATTATCGTATGTACACACAACACAGTCAGTGTCCCTGTGTGTGTATCGGTCCTCACATCACAGACAGCTTTATCATGCCATGCATCATATATGCTGGCTCATCTATCTCTGCACAAGAGCTCTGTGCAGCTGCTGGGCCATCCACTGCTCGGCCGTGAACGACACATCCATCGTCTTCTTGCCTGACACACAACACACACAACACACACGAGACACATGAGGCGCACACAGTAAGTAGCACACATGAGGGTTCACGGTCACCTTGCAAAATTCTGAATGCCTCACGGTAGGTCAGCAGTGCCAGGTACTCACTCATCTTGACGCGCTGCAGAAGGCACAAACAACGCGACAACACTCCATGCGGCCAATCAGCGCCTTTTGATTTCCATCAAAGCTTTGTTTACCATTGCATTCACGGCTGCCGTGTCCATGTTTGTCGCATCTTTGCCATCCGTGTCTCTCTCACCCCACCACACCACCGCCCTCCTGCTCACATCGACCTCGCCCGTGCTGCCTGCACTCTTCTCGAGCCGCTTCCGCCGCTTGGCCACTCGCTTGACGGCTTTGGTCAGCTGCGGGTCCTTCTCGTACTGCGAGTTGGCCATGATGCCCGTCAAGGTCTGCTCCCATATCGCCCACACACCACGCCACGCCTGCATAGTGGGTGGCGACACACAGAACGAAACCGACACAATCCCATCACATGGCCCGCAACTTCACTCCGCCTGCCTACCTCAAGTGCGGTAAGCATGGGTGTCTCGTCGATAAGTTTCCGGTGCAGCAGCCGAGACAGCTCGATCACCTCCTTGGGCGGGGTGTTGGGCAGGGTGCCTGGCGGAGGGGCGGGGGGCAGTACAACGCCATCAGCTGAGGGAGATGTGATGTTGTGTGGGTTGGCGGGCGCGTGCAGCTCTATCGGCACTGTCCGCCACGACCTGTCCCACTTGGGGTGGAACCTAGCAATGAATACAACACACAGACAGGTAGATATAATGAATGGTGTCTCTATGTTGTCTGTCTGGGTGTGGTGTGGGTCGCGGTGCTCACTCACTTTGCCAGCCGCTCAGCGGTGCCGATTCGGCAGCTCCATGACATCTCGTGTCTTGGGGGCGACGTGTACCCATAGACCGTCAGCAGATGGGCGTTGGAGTGAGGCCCATACCACCCCAGCAGCTCCTCACCCGCAGCCACGTCACGGGTGGCCCGCACCCTCATTACATCGATGTCACGTATGAACTCCCAGAGGACATTCTGCCTCGCCAGCCCATAGTCGTTGAGGAAGTCTATCACCGGGATCATTACCAGCTCGCCGTCCACCATGAAGCTGCGGGAAGAGTGAAGCGCCACTGACTTGAAGAAGCTCTCCAGGAGGAAGCTGTCGCCCAGTAGGGAGCGGTCCGTGTCAGATACGACTCTGTTGTAGGAATCCAAGACGCCGCGCCTAAGCGTCGCCGCCCACTCGCCCTCGGGCGACCTCGATAGGTGAGTCGTCAATAGTGTCTCGTTGCCATCCTCCACAGTGAAAGGGACGGCCGGCGTGTCAAGTGCCCGCAGATCCTTCAGCCAGACCTTCAGCCGCTCACACGGGGAGACGAGAGGGACAGCAGATGACGGCGGTGGTCTCTGTGTGGATGATGATATCGATGGTCTCCCACCTGTCCTGCACCCGCCGCTCAGCGCGTACGTGAGGAAGGCAATCACCACAGTCACCGGTCCCAGAGGCATCCTGTCGCCATCCCTCGCCACAGCAGCAGCGAGGGACGACTGCTGGGCAAGCCGGCTGACCGTCAGCATGAGCTTCTTGGGCACCTCGATGACCGTCGTCCCCTTCGCGAGAGGCGCAGTGGTGCGGAGGCCGCGCTCCTGCGTGCTGCTTGGTGGTGTGATCTCCACATCTGGGTGCAGATAGCCATCGTTGTCCATGAGCAAGCCGCGGAAAGGGCCGATGTCATGCGGATCATACGGCTCTGACGCATCACTGTCGATGGCACGAAAGGAGGCGAAGACCCAGTCGACAGCGTCCCGCCATTGGTGAGCGGCCAGGGCAGCCAGCACAACCACACTCACGAGGAATGAGGTCGGCAGCTTCATCCTCCGAACTCAACGATTAACGGCCGGCGTCTGCGAGCTTGGTGCAGACCCTTTTTCAGACTCGTATCGTATTCCAGGGATGAAGCCTGCGGAGATGATGGACGGGTGGATTCTGCCTGGTGACGGGTGAGTGAGTCGGACACAATAAAGAAACACACACGGTGGACGGCCGGATGAATGGATGCATTTCCATATATGCCTGAAGGACGGCTGTGGTGCGGCAGTTCCCCATTCCAAAGGCAGGTCACGGGCAGGTCGTCATCAAAGGTCAGTCACTGTGCACACAAAGGCTTGTATGCCATTCATGTGTGTGTAGATGTGTTGCTTGGTTTGGCCAGTGATGGCGTCCACCATTTCGGAGACAGACATCCGCGCCATCTACCGACAACACCTCGGCACCGGAGCTGAGAAATATCGCAATGTCATCGCGGGGGTGAGCAAAGGACGTGTGGCGATCATCCACCCGACCCACCCAATTGTGGTGTGTGTGCATCTTCCTTCCCTTTTTTGATTGGCATGCAGCACGAGCCAGCCGGTATAGTGTACTCTGTGGGTGCTGGCTGCCGTCGGCTCAGGGAGGGCGACCGTGTGTGTGTCTACGACGCCAGCCGGTGCGGCCAGTGTGGCGACTGCAGGCGGGGCTATGCCATCAGCTGCCCAGCCGACTCGAGAGCGGCGTACGGCTGGCAGAGGGACGGAGGGATGGCGCAATACATGCTCGCTGAAGAAAGGGTCTGTCAGTGAGCGGAGCGATTGGATTAATCGACCCCCTCCCCTCTCTGCGTGTTTGTACTGTTTTCCACTGCAGGACTGCCTGTTGCTTCCCGAGTCTGTGAGCTATGTGGACGGTGCCTGTGTGGCGTGTTGCTTTGGCACCTGCTACGAGGCGGTCAGGAGGCTGGACGTGTCGGGCGATGATCGATGCCTGGTCGTTGGCTTAGGACCGATGGGTCTCGCCACATGCATGCTCGGTCGGTCGGTACTCACCAGCCACCCCACGACAGACAGACAACACATTCTCACACAACACAACACACGTGTGTATGTGTCATTGTGTGTGTGCCCCTCTTGTGGCTGTCACAGCACGAGCGCGTGGCGCCTCCTTCCTTGTGGGTGTGGACGTCAATCCTGCGCGGGCGACCCAGTGCAGTCAGCTGAACCTCGCTGACCTGGTGCTGGACGCAGAGGGCGGCGAGGAGGGGCGGCAGCGGTGCCTCCGGGCTGTCATGGAGGTCACCGAGGGCATGGGATGCGAGAAGACCATCGACACATCCGGACATCCTGACGGAAGGCTGCTCGCACTGCAGGTCGGTCCGTCAGCTCATCCACCCACCTTGCCCACTCACCCACTCAGTGCACAGCACAGCACATGGCATGGGCATATACCTCGACGGTCTGGCTGTCGTGCGGTGCCGTGATATGCAGGCTACGCGTCGGTTCGGGTCGGTGGCGTTGGTGGGCGAGGGCAACCACATGACCTTCCAGCCCTCAAACGACCTGCTGCACAAGCACATCGCCATCCACGGGGTGTGGGTATCGTCATACGCCAACATGGAGGCCCTGCTCGAGAGGCTGGACCGGTGGCGGATGCATCCTGAGAAGATCGTCACGCACTATTTCGCCCTGGCTGACGCGGCACAGGCGTACGAGACGGTGGACAAGGGCAACTGTGGAAAGGTGGCCGTCATCACCTCGGATGAAGAATGACAGACAGATATTGGTACGCGGGCGGCGTGTACGTGTGTGTATGTGGATGTGGCGAGCACTCTCAGACGTAACTGTGTAGGTAGGTGTGTCGAGTCTGTATATCGTTCTGTACGTCTGTCTGTCTGTCAGTCAGTGGATTATTTTCTGTGAATGTTTTTCTTTTATGGCCAGCGGGATTTATTTGTCCAGTGCGTGTGGACGAGATCAGGAAATGGATGGATGGATGGATGGATGGATGACGTGAAGAGCCTTTCGTCTGTACAGGCGTTGAATCGGGCACCACGCACATATGCACATGTCACGCGAGCCACGCCCCCCCCCCC